TAGGCCTATGTATAACGTATACTGATGCATATTTACATGTTTTAGAAGTATTCATTTTGAGTGATCCCAGGAAAGAATTTGTATTGGCTCAAGAACAAGCTTTAAAATTTTAACACTGTGTACAAAGGTGGGGGGGGAGCCGCGGCTCCCACGGCTCCCCCACCCCCCTGGATACGTCCCTGAACGAAGCTAAAGTTTTGCGACTTAGTTTACCAAATGTAGGTAAAGTTTTGCGACTTAATCACCTGATTGTGGATTGTGTGGTTAGTAAATTCCATAGCCATACTCTCCATAGCGCATACTGAACTACCGTATGTGCTGATGGAGCATTTTGGGGTTATTGACTCTCCTTTTTTCCCATCCCAAACAAAATATTATTAATAAATCAACATGGTCCATCTCAGTCATCATATATCCAGTCACAAAATTAGGCTAGGAATTTTGTTTTCAACAGCAGACACACACTACAGAACGGAGTGCGTCAAAACGAGTGTTTGTTAATTTTTAGTGATAAAGAATCATGAAACATCCTAGAAATAACTGACTTTTTTTCGTCCGCTGTTGCAAAGAAGAAAACGACAGATAGTCCTTTAAGGTGGGTCATTGATTTCAAAATCAATTAGCCTAGCCTAGATGTTGACTAGCTAGGCTCGCTCCTCGTTGATATATATATATATATATATCTTTCGGTGTTATTTAAACATGCCAATTCTCAGAAAATATTTTCTAATTTTATTATATTACCACATTTTTATTACATAGATCTTTTTTAAAACATAACTGCTTTTAAAACATTATATAGACCCATTAAACACAAAAACTGCCACCGTGGCCCTTAGGCAGGCCCCTGGACCCACGCCCAGAGAACCCCCCCTTGAAATGACCTGGCTACAGGCCTGATTATATATTTACACCAAACGTCATAATAGGCCTAAGGTGCTATTTTACTATTGCTTTCTAGAAATTGTAGCATTGTTGTCACCTTATGCTTCAAAATATTTGAAATTCGTGGTGGTGGCGGTTGGAATAAATAAATTAAGTGTAAATTTGTAGTAATTCAAATTTAACAACCAATAAGAATATGTCTAAGAATACGCGCATGTCACATAAACGCAGTACAGAAACGTTAAAGAATACGTCATTATCATTATAATCCTTGATTCATGTATAATAAGGCATGAATCGACTACATTGTGGCAGATAGGCTAATGTAGGAGTAGGGCTGTCTAAAACAATGATGATGTAACCGTATTCGTTAACGTGTTCCCTATTGTCGTACGCGTTCCACAAGCGCATATGTCTACGTACGATTTACATCATCATCATCATCATCATCACCACCAACAACAACAACAACATCATCATCATCAATATCACCATATGTTTTCTGCCCACTGGCAGGTTCACAGCAGTTATTTTCGCTTAATAATTAATAAACAAGGGGCGCAGCATAGCGGAAAGATCCATAACGTACCTGTGTATAATGACCGCACATCTTGCCTGGTTGACAAGCGCCACTCGCGTACGTGTAGAAATTAACTTCATCGTACCAACCTTGGACGCCGGAGAGCAGTTTTTTACCAACGAATGGATCAGTGCTAAATGCGAGATTCTCACCCATTCCAAGTTCGCCGAGTTTGGTGCTTGATCGATGTCCCTGTGGATCTCCTTTCCTCTTTGCCGTACAAGCATCAGCCCACTCCTGGGCAATACCTTCGGCTTCCTCATCCCATTCCTAACATAAATCATCAACGTCGAAGAGTTAGTGTTCTTCGGACAGACAAAATTTTGTTTTACTGTTCCTTTTAGTAACTATACTGAAAACTTATATAAAAAAATATAATTTATTTCGTCGATAAAAATATTTGGAATACAATGACATGTTTACAAGATTGAAATACAACAAGCAGTTAAAAACATTTTGAACCATTTAAACTTGACTGGATTGCTCAAAAGTAAAAATAAGTTTACTGTCGGGGAGCTCCGAGTTTAATCTGATTTATACAATGAAATTAATAAAAAATATGCAAAAATTTTAAATTTTGTTTATAAAAGGTAGGAAAATTCACTGAATAAAATTAAAACGTAGTTGAAATATATGTTAATAAAAATAAAACACTAAACACTAAATAAAAAAGTTGTAAAAATAGGCATTTAGATACAATTTAAAATCTAAACCAAGTAAATAACCATATCTAAGGGTTTTAATACGAAAATCAAAATTACGGTTAAAGTAATTTAATTGGTATGGATGCATTTAATTGGTAGTTAAGATGAATTTAATCAGTAGTTAAAATCAAGCTCCGGAGGAAAAAATGATAAATACAATTAATTTAGGCCTACCTAAGACACAAAAAACATTGACGAATAACTCACCACCGGTTAAGAGATATAGATATTTAAATATTTAAAAAATGGGTAAAAAGGGGCTTACCCACCATTTTTCCAACTTTTTTCCCCTAGTTATTAAATATTCAAAAATGTGTATTACCCGCTCGTGAGTTTTTCGTAAAATATTCTTTTTGTGTCTAAAAAAAATCAGTTGTACAACATATTAATTTTTTCTCTCCGGAGCCTGACTTTAAGATAAATTGAATAAGTAGTTAAACTAAATTTAATTAAATAATAGTATTTTATTCAAAATTCAAAAATTCATAAAAAGCATAAAACATGGCAGTCAAAATGGCTGAATTACGAATTACGTTTAACATCAAAAACATCAAAAAGCAATAAGCATAGGCCCTAATAGAAAATTAACATTACATAAAATTGACTTAATAAAAAACAATAGAAAGATACAGAATTGTAAATAATTACTATAGCAATTATTTGTTATTATTTGATTTTATATAATTATAAATTATTGCTACAGTAAATATTATTATTATTATTATTATTATTATTATTATAAATATTATAATATTATTATATAATTGAATTTATTGCTTCAAAAACCATTAAATTAAACAATTACGAATAACGTTAAACATCAATGACATCAAAAAGCATGAAACATATTAGACATAATAGGAAATTTAGTAGTTAATCTCCCGACAGTGCACCAATAGGCCTACAACAAAGAATTTCAGCAGCTGTGTGAGGCTTAGGCCTATTTTGACAATAAAATCGATGGTTTTTTTTTTATCTATTATGGATCGGAATTCTAAGAGAGGAATATATATTCCAATCTTAATAAAAAATTAAACAAAGAAAAATGTGATATTTATCCGTTGTTGTTGTCCGCGTTTCATATCGCATCAAGCCTGATTTCCATGCATCGCTACGCTGTCACTATAGCAATTGTTGCTTTTCGTAGCTGTCCCCAACGCAATCGTGAATGCTCTGATTCGACCGACAACAGTGTCGCCGAAAAGAACCGAAATAACGTGTAGCAATTTTATGGAAACCAGTCTTTAAAATGTGAAATGCCTAAATATGGTCATAATGACATCACATCATGACCATATATAGGCACATCATGACTATATATGGGTATAAGCTGGACAGAGATTTACATGCAGATTCGTTTACTTACAAGTTTTCTCATGTTGGCTGCTGGCGGCTTAACGCTTCCCCGATAATTATTATGTGCTTCTAGCACTTTGTTTTTCTCTTTGTCGGTGAGACCACTGCAGCCCTATAAATAAGATAATAATAATAATAATAATAATAATAATAATAATAATAATAATAATAATAATAAATAGGTTGTTCAAAGAATACGGTCATAAAAAACAAATAATTATAATAAATAATGAACTACAGTACTAGTAGAAAATGTTAATTTTACATATTTACAAACTATTTAATTTTGTGGGTTGTCTTTACTGTGTGTGATTGTTTGCTTTGTCATTTCCTATTTATCTTTCATGTTTGGTGTTTGGGGCTGTCATTATCTTCTATATATTCTTTAATCTTCTTTCCTCCTTGGCTTCGCCCTCCAACTAATTTATGCTTATTTCTAGTTATATATTGCAATTTTGTTTTTGATTCTTTTTTAATTTAAATGTATTTTTATGTATTGTAATTGAGTTTTCTCAATTTATATTGACTTTTAAGTATTTTTTACTGATTTTTTTTTGCAAATATATAATATTTTTATAGGTTCTACTTGTTTGATGTTTTTAACTAAATTGATCTGCATTACCATGTAATTCAGCAGGCATGCTGCAATTTGGTGGTATGATTGTAAAAAATAGGCCTATTGAATAAATATAAATAAATAAATGAGCTCGGTATCCTTGCATCAAAATGTTCGTAAATTAGCAAACTGGATGTTTTACATCCTTCTCTTATTCAGAGCTGAACTTATTTGATCTTTTGGAAAGGTTTTCTGCCACTGTGTGTGCTGTCTCTTATACACATCTAGATGTGTATAAGAGACAGCATCATGACCATATATAGGCACATCATGACTATATATGGGTATAAGCTGGACAGAGATTTACATGCAGATTCGTTTACTTACAAGTTTTCTCATGTTGGCTGCTGGCGGCTTAACGCTTCCCCGATAATTATTATGTGCTTCTAGCACTTTGTTTTTCTCTTTGTCGGTGAGACCACTGCAGCCCTATAAATAAGATAATAATAATAATAATAATAATAATAATAATAATAATAATAATAATAATAATAAATAGGTTGTTCAAAGAATACGGTCATAAAAAACAAATAATTATAATAAATAATGAACTACAGTACTAGTAGAAAATGTTAATTTTACATATTTACAAACTATTTAATTTTGTGGGTTGTCTTTACTGTGTGTGATTGTTTGCTTTGTCATTTCCTATTTATCTTTCATGTTTGGTGTTTGGGGCTCTCATTATCTTCTATAGGAACTTCGTTTCTCCTTGGCTTCGCCCTCCAACTAATTTATGCTTATTTCTAATTGTATATTGCAATTTTGTTTTTGATTCTTTTTAATATAATTGTATTTTTATGTAATTGAGTTTACTCAATTTATATTGACTTGTAAGTATTTTTTACTGTATTTTTTTTGCAAATATATAATATTTTTATAGGTTCTACTTGTTTGATGTTTTTAACTAAATTGATCTGCATTACCATGTAATTCAGCAGGCTTGCTGCAATCTGGTGGTATGATTGTAAAAAATAGGCCTATTGAATAAATAAATAAATAAATGAGCTCGGTATCCTTGCATCAAAATGTTCGTAAATTAGCAAACTGAATGTCTTACATCCTTCTCTTATTCAGAGCTGAACTTACTAGATCTTTTGGAAAGGTTTTCCATCTTTCTCAACAAATAACTTAAATAAAATAGTCAACTTACCTGCACACACCATATTGCCAGAAAAGCGATAATCCACGCCGATGTTGCCATTCTAGAACGATGTTATACCTTGCCTGTGCGCAATGAGCAGTAAAATGGACTTCGGTTTATAGTTTTCACTTTATATAGCCACATGGTCAATCGTATGCAAAACATGTTAGAGTTTGTATATTATGTATGACAGCTATATGTATCAAATGTTACGACATCCATCATTTAATTTCAGACCAAATGATATCATTATGATAAATCGACTAACCACGTCGCTGCGTTTCCTTAATCGCAAAATTTGGTTTTTAATGGTTAAACATTAAAGAAATTGAGTAAGGGTAATGGGTCAGTGAAGTGACGTAGTCGTTTTCACGATATGATGTCCTTTTTGTTTGGTGGAACTAATGACAATTATATATAAGAATGATGACTAACAGTGCGTTTCTATAAACAACATGATTAATGTCATTCTTCGGATGCGTAAAAAAATCCATTCATCAGTCATTTTTATAAATTTGGCTCTGATGGGAAATAATCAGAGATGTAGGCCTATATATAATCTGCAGACAGCAGAAGGCCCAGGGTTCGAATCCTGGTTGGAGAAACTTTTTTTTTTCACACTCGCATATTCTTCTGTTAATTAGATGCTTGAATTGGATTTGAATTCCCAACAAAAGTCTCAATGGCCCAGTTGGTTAAGGCGTCTGCATAGACAGTAAACGTTATGGGTTACGAAACTCGAATTTCGATTGGGGTAGGCCTAACTAGGCCTATATTCAGATTCCTCTACTTTAATGGTTTGTTTTGGTTTTATTTTTGCAAAGATTCGCAATAACCCTTTTCAACAATGGACATAATAAATTCATTGAAACAATTGTACAAAGAGCAAAAAAAAAAAAAAAGAAAGAAAGAAAGGAAGAAGCCATGGGATCACAATAAAGCAAGCCTTTACTAATAGTTACCATAATAATACTGTAATAATGTTATATAATAGTCGGCTAAACTGGTTGTAGCCACTGTGTGTGCGCTGAACCGTGAAAAACTTTGACCTCCAGTGTGAATGTATCTTTGGTGTGATCCATCCCATAAGTCATTCCTGCTTCTTTCTCTATTCATTTTGTGTTAACGTTTTAATTAATATTTATTCATTACATTATTCCGCTTAGCAGCAAGTCATGTTTCTACATTAGAATGCTATTTAAACACGACATTGTTTGACCTTTGACACTGATGTGTTCATCATTGTCGATACAGCCACCATACCATATGGGCATATGTTCGCAGATTTGTATGGTACATCCCAGTAAGATCATGCTGTCGTTATTGGCAACATATCACAGCTTTAAATTAGTATTAAAGTTATTTAACACGTAAGCCACATCAAAAGGAGGGTCAATTAAGACATTAAACAGTACATTCTTTTTAGTTTTCTGTCTGTTATTGTTATGCTATGGTTCACTGGAGTACGCCGACCACATACTCTCTGGCGGCTATAAAGTACATTACCGTATAACTGTAAGCTTTTCCAAACACTGACAATATGTTAATTGTGGTTAACAATTATAAATAGTAGTAAAAGATCAAATCAAATTTTGTATTCGCCGTTGGTTTAATTTTGTTTAGTTAAGAAATGTCCTGATTATATCATTAAGTACACGTAGACTTGTTTTTTTTTAATGTTGTTTTTGTACAAAAGTTTAAATTCTGTATTTAATTGTACATTAATCTTGTATATTTGTGTAAATCATTATTATTATTATTTTATTATTATTATTTAATTACTCTTGATCATAATAAATAATAATAATAAATTATTATTTTTACTATTATTATTATAAAGAGTAATAAAATAATAATAATAATAATAATAATAATAACAATAATTATTATTATGTTCAAAATTTCATTTCAATTAAATATTTTTTTATTATAATAATGAGGATGATATTGATACTAATAATAATACATTTTATAATAATGAAATGTTATTATTATTTTATTATTATTATTTAATATATATTGGTTTCCTTTCTAATTACGCCTGGGCTGCCGTCGATCATGTTATATCAGATGCAGATTACCATTTGTATATGACCAATGTTAATAGCTGAGAACGGGTGCCTTCAAACAGCGCAAATTACACTATTTCTCAATCGCTATTGATGGCGACAAATTTCTTCAAAACGGGTAATTCGGTGTTTAGTAGATGTGAAAGCCGGTGCTAATCACGCAGCTATGCTCGTCCAACTACGCCGATCTTAAAGAGTCGTCCGTTTTGGATATTTTTACTCAGTCTGCTTTGCATAAATTCATAGTTAGGAACTTCATGCTATATTTAACATCGATCGAAAAGTAGTTTTTCTAATCCAGTCATATTAAACTCTTTTGATATAAGTTCAACACATTTTTATTGTCGCCAAAAACTGGTAACTTCTTTTATAGGACGTTTTTTTTTTAATTGGACAGTGTTCTTGTTAAGGGCGTCTCTTCAGTTTATAGAATATGAAACAATCATTTTGCAATTGTTTCCAATATGAAAGGGAAATATTATGACAAATATAGTTCATAAATACCGATGTCGTGAAGTCGAGGTTCCTCATTAACTTTGGCTGAAGAGTGTAGAACTGCAAGAGAAACACAATCCTATAGTAGGCCTATACTACCATGGAAGGGGCGTGTCTTTCAAAAGACGAGTTTCTAGCAAACTCTATTCGGATTTGTGGCAGTACTTTCTTTAACGTTTCATGTGTGCATACAGAATGTCGGACCTTCTTGTACTTTCGTACACTTTTCTTTGGTTCAATTACATTCTCTTTATTTTATTTATAAATGTGGTAGTCTTAAACATGACCATATTTGGAGACAAGTGTTTCTAAATCATTTTTACTGTTCCGTCTATTTATGAATCTATTGGTTACTACTTTGTTCCTTACTAGACTTTATTAGTTTGTATAAAACACATAGGCCTATTTCTGCTATTATGTCTGCTATTATCATTAGAATGTATAATTGATAGTAAATTAGATATCAGTCTAAGACATTATTAAGAGGTTTGCAACACTAAAAACATAACATTAAAATAAATGAGTGTTCAGCTTCAACATGATTATCACGTTTTTATTCTAAATATGTCATTTCAATTTATTTTATTGATTCGAAAGCCATCATTAGCCAATATTCGCAGAAAACAGTCACAACATCAAAAAAAAATGAACACATTAGAATATATAAAAATTTGGAAGAACAACAAAACATTAAACTTCGAGGAGACGTTTCACAATGGAGGCAAATCTGAGATCGGTGATATCAACATGTTCACTGGGAATATACATCTGGATCCAATAAAATAGTATGAGTAATGTGTATGTTTGTTTGAGGATCTAAAAATGAATAAAATATTTGTAACGAAAACGCTGTTTTACCAGTTTGCATTTTATTTGTACAGTATGTCAAGACATTCTCTATAATTGTATCAGTGCTCAATTATTCATGATGAATTGATTAATTTTAATATTTGTATTTTGTATTATTTGATGCCTGTTTTCATATTAAAAGTACTGTGTATATACTTTAACTATAAGATTAGAGTTTACAACATGAAACGATGGTAAGTTATCTAAACTGGAAGGTTTATAATCTACCAAAGATACGGTATTAATTTTTCCAGATCTGGCTATGTTTTTATAGCATTATTTAGTATCTTCCTGATGATGGTGTAGAATAATCCGTTTCAAGTCGAGACAACTTGTAGGTCTACTATGAAATTACTTTTTTTTGTGAAACTGGAACAGCATAGCATAGCTATCAATATTATTTTAACTGAAGTTATTATTATACTTAAGTTACTATTTTCATAAAGTTGGCCGTGATCGAATGCGCCTGAAACGACGCTCATGTTACATTTCTGTGCAATAACTTCACCGTGCAACAAAAAGGAATGATAAACTAAACAAAAGTAATATAGTATACAATTATATTATGGTCTATTATAATTCAATACTATAATGTAGTACAGTATATGAATATTTACTGGGTTGAGGGGGCATAGTTCAATATATAGCCCGAGGTGATCCGAGGCTGTACTTTGTCCCTAGACGAGGTCGAGGTACAGTACAGTCTCCAGACTACAAAGGGCTACATTTTGAACTATGACCCGATCAAAACCCAATAAACATTTATTTTATAGGCTATACTACTACATAGATTGTAGGCATTAGAGGACATGGCTGGAACTACAGCCCAGATTTAACTAATCAAATGCCTGGAATCTATAGTAGTCGGTATATATTAACCTATAGCATACAATGCCGTACTATAGTATTAGTAGCCTATAGTATAAAATATTATAGTAGCTTATATTATAAATAAGTATAGTATAATACGAAAAGCATAGTATGGTATATTCTCATTAAATTCTCATGTAGACATATACGTCACAGGTATCTACTCGAATGTCGATTTTTTGTCGTTGTCGCAGTCCTATTTGGCGTTCTCTGAAATTTCAAATAGAGATTATTTTGAAACAAACATATGATTTCCGTTGTATACAACTATTTCTATCTAGAAAAATTGTAAACTTGATTTGCATATCATTTTAGGTCATTATAGGGCCTACCATGAATACCTCCATGATTATTTATACTAACCACAGTCTGCCTGGCACTTGAGGGCGCACGCTTCATTGAAGTACTCCACACTACACACCGATTCGTCGGGCCAAGTCAAGTACTCGTCGCAATCGGGCGAGTTTGTGCACTCGTCTAGAAGAAAGATTTGAAACATTTTAAAATTAGGCCTGATTATTATACCAAACTGTTCTTTCAGCGGAAAAGCGGTGCAGTGTGTGTGAGCGGATCCAGAGCTTATCCGTCTAAGGCACAGCTGGGGTCCCAGGGGCGGGCGGGCGGATTCAGAGCTTCATACTAACCATTTACAATAAATAAAAAATAGATAAGCCGTACTAGTCTAATATATAATAGAAAATAAAACTCAGGATATTCAGTACTTTTATGACTAGTTTATTTATGACAGTACACAAGCTTTTGTGCACACAGTGCACTTCTTCAGGTGAATGTGAAGTTAACATAAACTTGGTGTATAATTAACTTGCTTAGGTCTATCCACCAAGTTTATGTTAACTTCACATTCACCTGAAGAAGTGCACTGTGTGCACGAAAGCTTGTGTACTGTCATAAATAAACTAGTCATAAAAGTACTGAATATCCTGAGTTTTATTTTCATTTACAATAAGTGAGAGGGCGGGGGGCCGTGAGCGAAGAGAGCGTCATTTGTGATTGTTCCCTCAAATGGAAAACAAATGTTTGATGAATGTATCCAACATCCTGTTTGAAATTGAGCAAAATATGCTATAGCAAACGAATATAATCCCACTCGAAATTTTAGAATTAAAAAAAATCTATGCAAAAGCCATCCAATTCACTTATAAGGATAACAAAATAACACGCACAATCTAAAAAGGCTGAGCGAAGCAATACTGTTTAATTAAAAGCTATTAGGAATTGGTGATGATGTTATAATAAATGGCGATTCTACACAAATCAATAAGAAAAACCAGAATGTATATGCTTCACCAACGAATTGTGTTCATTGAAACATCACCTTGACTTTAGCATCGTGACGAAAAGACAAACACAACGAATGCTTACAATAACCTTGGTTTAATGGCTTATAATAATGGATATTTGTTTAATATCGATTTTTTTAAAATCCAATACAATATCATTATTTTGTGTTTACAAATTACAACTGACAGAAATAGTCCTACGGCTGTTTCTGATCTCTAAAAAAGTAAACAAATATATATATATATA